GGGGGTCCTGTGGGGTCCCCAGAGGTGTGTTGGGGGGTCTGGGGGTGCACTGGGGACCCCCAAAACAGGCTGAGCCGCAGCAGGGACCCCAGGGTGGACAGTGCAGGGGGTTCTGCCCAGGGACTGGGGTGCCCGAGGAGGTCCCAGGGAGAAGGGGGGGGGGGGTCCCAGGGAGAAGGGGGGGGGGGGGCCCAGGGAGAAGGGGGGGGGCCCTACTGCAGGCAGCCGGTGTCGGGGCGGGCGCTGATGGCCTGCGCCTGGTGGGTGAGGGCGTGCAGCACCACGGCGGGGTGCAGGCAGAGCCGCTCCAGCGCCTGCAGCCCCGCAAACGCCTTCTCGAACCACATCAGCTGCGCTGCGCCTGGGAAAGGGGAGGGAAGGGGGTCAGTGGGGTGGGGGGACGACACCCCCATATCCGTCCCTCCCTCCAAAGGCTGTCCCTCACTTACCGCGGACCTCGAACTGGCTGTACTCACGGGGCCGCAGCACTGGCCCGGCCAGGCAGCCCCAGGGCAGCTGCTTGCGAAGCTGGGGCAGGAGGTAATGGGCTACCAGCCCCAGTAAGGCTACTAGTCCGTGCAGGACATAGCCCAGCACCGACTGGGAGGAACGGGGAGACACACGGGGTGGGGGTCAGGGCCGCTGGGACCACCCTGTGTCCCCCCACCACTGCGGTGTCTCGCCTGTCCCCTCCACGTACCTTGAGGGCGATGAAGACGGTGCTGGCGCTGATGGCGAAGGTCAGCACGGCCACGGCCGGGCAGACCACCAGGTCCGAGAGCAGGACCTCCCGCTGCGGGGGGGTGTCAGCGGGGAACCCCCGGGGTGTGTGTGTCCCCCACCCCGGGGCCCCAAGGGGGCCACCTGTGTCCCCACGGGGGCCCAGCCCCACCACAGGGGTCCCAACGACCCCTGATGTCCCCAACATCCCACTGTCACCCCCAACACCCCCCCGTGTCCCCAATTCCCCCCCCCAGCATTCTCAACACCCCCCTGGTGT